ATCCAAAGGAACGGCAAAGACCGATACGGTTTAAATATACATATATATGGAAAGAGAAATAGATACGTAGATAGAGAGACAAGTGAAAATTACGTATATGTACATGCATATGATAATATAGTGTATATACATATCCATAGATAGGTAAATAGAGATAGATACAGATATAGATAAAGATTCACACACTCACACACACACACACACACACACACACACACACACATATATATATATATATATATATATATATATATATATATGTGTGTGTGTGTGTGTGTGTGTGTGCGTTTTGTATAGATAAGTTTTTTTTACATATAAAGAAACATATATGTATTTATATGGCATAAATATATAAGCACGCACTCTTCTTTAAAAGTATGGAAGGATTACGAGGCAATAGAAAAAGAGATTTTATAAGTATATAAATCATTTAAAGGGAAGGAGGGAATGTTAAGGAAAAGTTTGCTCAGCTGTACCCATTTCATGTAACTGCTAAAACATTTTATGACAAAACCGAAAGATGATATCTACATTTTTTCTTGTGGTAGTTTTGCATTACTGGCGAAATAGTATTTTTGTTTTGATCAGTGGTAACATTCGTTCTGATATATCAATTACGCGGTTTTGACTGTTATGATTTATCCACTTTATATTGCTTGTTATGATTATCATTATTTCGTTTGAAATAGTTTTGCCATTATCATTAGTCAGTCAGCATTATCATTAGTATCATTATTATATGATCTATATTATTAGTATTATTACTAATATTATTTTGTTGTTATTGTAATTGTTATTATTGTTCCATTGTTGTTAAAATTATCATAATCGTTATTATCTATTCTTCCATTCATTATTAAAATTATACATTATCATAATTACAATTACTAATAATCTATATTATAATTATTCTCACGAATTTGTTATAATTCTACAAAAAATGAAAGAAAATTAAAGGTAATTTTGATGATGTAATCGAACAGCGTGAATTATACCGTGTCCTTATCCTTTTCCTTTCTACCTTTCTTATTATTTGCTAATAATTACATTTGCATTTGTGATAAGGATGTTATTGCGAAGTATGATAATTACTGATCCTTCTGTGTAACTCCTCATCTCCTCATCTTTCTTATAATTACAATGGAGAGGATTTTCCTTTTTTAAACGCTAAAACATACTTTCAGAGCTTTTCACTTTTATTAATCATAATGCGGAAAAACGAAGGATAATATCATAGAACTAGATATCAAGGATAGAGGTGGTCAGACAGGCGCTAAATTTTCCGAGTCACTGAAAACAATCTAAAAAAAAAAATAGTGCTGAGTCATCACTCTTTTCATTTTAGTCTACCAGATGATTTCCTCCCCCCACCCCCACCCCTCCCTGCCAAAAAAACGTAACCCTTATTACCGATAAGACAAAGATCATTTTCCTCTTTGCTCTTGCTGTTTATTTTTTCCCTGCTTTTAAGTACATTGTAAGTTAATCAAGGTATACCAGAATCTGGTACCTTGTGGAAATAGGCCTTACGCCATATAAATAGCCGAAGGAAAATATCAGGAGATACAAGTCTCTTTGTCGGCCAACGGCTAACAACCATGATGTATCGCAGCCTCTTGGTAAGACCGTGGGAAATATTTTGAGCTTTGAATATTTTCAATATACACGTACGTATATGAATATATATTTGTACATACATATATGTTTGTGTATGTATCTCTATAAACACATATGTGTATGTGTGTGTGTAAGTGTGTGTGTGTAGCTGTAAATAAATCTTCACAGACACACATACACACATACATATATATATGTACCCATATATACATATAAACATATATTCATGTGTGTATATATGTATATAAATACATGTATATAAATATATATGTGTGTATCTCTATAAACACATATGTGTATGTGTGTGTGTAAGTGTGTGTGTGTAGCTGTAAATAAATCTTCACAGACACACATACACACATACATATATATATGTACCCATATATACATATAAACATATATTCATGTGTGTATATATGTATATAAATACATGTATATGAATATATATTTGTACATACATATATGTTTGTGTGTGTAGCTGTAAATAAATCTTCACAGACACACATACACACATACATATATATATGTACCCATATATACATATAAACATATATTCATGTGTGTATATATGTATATAAATACATGTATATGAATATATATTTGTACATACATATATGTTTGTGTGTGTATCTCTATAAACACATATGTGTATGTGTGTGTGTAAGTGTGTGTGTGTAGCTGTAAATAAATCTTCACAGACACACATACACACATACATATATATATGTACCCATATATACATATAAACATATATTCATGTGTGTATATATGTATATAAATACATGTATATAAATATATATGTATATGTATATGTTCATGTGTGCATATATATGTGTATATGTATACATATATATTTATACACATGCAAGTATCTGTGTTTATGGTATACATGTGTAAAGTAATACTTAAGTTATAACAATAAATGTTACTTAATCAACAGATAACAGTAGCCTTCATGGCAACGGTGTATGTGGCGGTGGCTGACAGTGGATATGGTGGACGCGGAGGAGGAAGTGGAGGCGGAAACGGAGGTGGATTCGGAGGGGGAAGTGGAGGCGGCCACGGAGGAGGATTCGGAGGCGGAAACGGAGGTGGATTCGGAGGCGGAAGTGGAGGCGGCCACGGAGGTGGATTCGGAGGCGGAGCTGGTGCAGTCTCCGGTGGTTTCGGAGGAAATGGAGGCGCTTCATTCAGTGGCGGAAACGGATTCGGAGGAAATGCTATCGGAGGTGGAAATGGCGGTGCCGGAGGTTATGGCGCTAATGGCGGAGGCGGAGTGGGAGGAGGCAGCGTGGCTCCTGGAATCCTCCTCGGAAGCGGAAGCCTCCCAAGTGCCGGTGGCTCAGGAGGTGCTGGCGGTTTCGGTGCAGGTAGTGGCGGTTTTGGCGGTGGAAATGGCGGTTTTGGTGGTGGAAATGGCGGTTTCGGCGGTGGAAATGGCGGTTTTGGTGGTGGAAATGGCGGTTTCGGCGGTGGAAATGGCGGATTTGCCGGTGGAAATGGTGGCTTTGGCGGTGGAAACGGCGGATTTGGTGGAGTGAGTGGCGGTTTTGGCGGTGGCAGTGGTGGCAGCGCCGGTGGTAGTTATGGAAGGAAGTGATTGATGAGTGATTTGTCTTGACGCGAAATGTCTGGAAGTCATTTTTATAAATCAAATAAAATAATATTGTGACAATAAATTGTTTCCATACAACCTATTCTTTTTTCATAAGTCCGATAAAGTAGTAAAGTTCCTTAGAACAAATTCTTAAACTGGTAGATTAATTACACTGAACAGTCAATATTTTAGAATATATGTGTATATGTAATGGAACATATATCGGAATAAAACGCAGTGTATATATATATACACACAGGCACTTATGTACATATGTATATGTACACACATACATATATGTATATGTATAGATATACACATTTATACACGTAGATGTATATATATATAGGTGTGTGTGTGTACTTCTGAAGCAACTACATACAGCGCATTGCTTGATCACAAAGTATACTCCTAGAATTATATTAACAATATTGTTATCAGATAAAAAAAAAAAAAAAAAAAACTGAAGTTACAGTTTGGCACAGATTCATCCACAGATTTGCACAAGGGGGGAGGGAGACTTCGCTCCACCCACTCTGCTGCAACATTACCTGATGTCGTCTGCATGTCAAATTTCAGCTATAGGCCAAAGTTAATCCTCAGCGAACCAAATTTTAGCTTTACACAGAATATCTGTCTAAAATTATTTAATAAGGATACAGGTTTTGCTCCATCTACTCTCTGTAATACCCCGTACTTTGATCTAAAGTTACCTCTGTGGTACAAGTGTTCACTCCTTCGCTTCACAATGGACTGAAGGCATGGGCTTTATTTATGATATATATATATATATATATATATATATATATATATATATATATGTATGTATATATATATATATGTGTGTGTGTGTGTGTGTGTGTGTGTGTGTGTACATATATATATAGAGAGAGAGATACATAGGTAGATATGCATATATATATATTTATATATATATGTATACATACATACATATATGTATGTATAAAAATACACATCCATCTATCTATATCTATCTATCTATTTATCTCTCTCTCTCTCTCTCTCTCTCTCTATATATATATATATATATATATATATATATATATATTCAGTATTCGTGTGTGTTTGTGTGTAATGCAGGCAAGGCCGAAGAGGGAGACAAAATCAAGTTTTTTTTTATATAGTACACTATGGATATAAAAAAGAAATGTTATGTTCCACATCCACAAACACTTGAACGACTCACGCATTGAAACTGCTAACCACATAAATTTCAAATACTGAAGAAATAAAAAAGAAAAAAAGTAGTAGTAGGTAGTAAAGTTAAGTGATTACTGAATTTTCTCCATTAATAATAATAAGTAATATCATTGTTTTGTAATGATTCATAACATTCTTTCAATATCCTGTTATTGTTTCCTCATTATATTATTTCTTCGCCACACTCTTTATCACATTTATTCTATAATCATGATTACCATTACTGTTGTTTTTGTTTTGTTGTTCTTGTTATTCTTGTTGTTGCATTCTGTCATCGTTGCAGATTCTATTATAATTATTACCTGTTGCTATTATTATCTTATGTATACCTACTTATTTACCATTTTTTATTCTAATTATTTGTAGCTATAATCACCTTCATTATTACCCATGATCTTGATGAAGAGAGTTCATTGTGACAAATCGTTATTGCCATAAACAAGGATGTGATTATTCATGTAGTAATGATGGAGGTGTCATAACTAACAAGGATGATTAGGTAACTCTCTAATTTGGAGAATCTTCCTTTTCCTATATGCTTAAAAAAGACACGGAAGATATCATG